TTTATAGTAGCGTTCATGCCTTGTCTTTAAATTATTGATAAACGACTAATTCCACGGCGCTAAAGAAATTTTTCATTCTACCTGCAGATCCCTTGTGCATTATGAGCATCTTCTTTATACAATAATCTATATATTCACTTCAAAAATTACAGAAACTATCCACTCAATCATCCATTCATAAGTCATAATCATTTGCCTCCTCCTTTTCCGTTCACTGTTGGTTAGAACTTGGAAGTTTTTCTTTTTATCATCTGAGCTCTTGGACATCTCCACACTAGAAGCCATATTATCTTCTTCTCTTCATGCTTTGGCAGTTCATCAGAGAAAAAAACTCCATTAGCATTGTGCTTTGCCACTATCTTCTACTGGTGGTTTGACCCCTACAACGTGAAGGTTAACTCTCGTCGGAAGCAAATCTAGAGTCTCACTCTCTTACACTACTCAATTAGAGTAGCTAACACAATCTGGATGTAGTACATGTTTGGATTAACTTTTAACCTCAAACCTCATTAGAATAGGTTAAACTGAGGTTAGGACATAAAAAGCCTAAAAAGTATTATTTGAATTAGCAAAAATTTTCAACCTAAGTTAGGGTTAAATGAGCGTTTTTTGAGAAGCCATCACACCTTGCTTTTTTCCCTCAGCGATAACGTTTGCCCGTTGGAAGTATTAATTGGCTTTTAATTTTTTATGCTTTCTCTCTCTTCTCATTTATCTAACACGAGCTCTGCTTTCTTCCTGTGCAGCTCTACACTTTCAGATCTGGTCCATCGTCATCCTCATCTGCTTCTTCATCCTGACCTCAATGTCTTTCACGGACTAGAAAAACTAGCTTCTCTCATAACTCCGCAAACACTTGGGTCATCGAGTATGGATATGATAAGATATTTGAGTTCAACTTTCATGGCTAAGAGAGGTTGCTCCTACTGCTGCTTCGAACAACCACGATGTCATGAGCTTGAGCACACTTCCTGCCCCTGTTTTTGAGCTCTTAAAACAGAGCTCAAGAGCTCTTCCTGCCAAGTTCCATACACGAGTAAACTGAGAGTTGACGGCAGGGTGTTCCGGTGAACCTCCATCATATGCATGGGAGCTGACAATGTTAAACTTGTGGAGATTGTCACTTGCTAGCTATCTGGCTCTCTCACCATTGCTTCTATTGACGATGGTGACACTGTCCAGCACCATGTGTTGAGCTCCCAATATTCACAGACGGTGAGGAGAGGGAGCGAGAGAATGAAAGAGAAGACACACTAGAGACAAGGGAGAGGGAGGAGAGAGATGCTTGACTAGTATAAGCATTGCTTGGTGGAACTGAACTCAAAATGATGAGGAGAGAGAGAAGAATATATGATGGTGAGGAAAGAGAGTGAAGGAGTGGGATTGTTTTATCAGTGGAGGAGGAGGAAAAAAAGACAATGGCAAGGAGAGTCAGGCGAAACAGTGCCATGTGTTAAATTCATGTGAGCTTACAACATTGAATCAATGTCCATTAGTGGCAAATTAGTGGATTTGATGATTTTTGATAATTAAAAATTTATTTTACTCTGCCTCATAATTAATGATTGAATATTTAAATTATTTTACTTATTAATTATACTTTTAAATTTAATATTTTTTATTTATTAGTTAGATAAAAAATATATAAAAAATTTATATTTATTTTGATCGTTAAAAATTTCAAATAGCTTTTAAATTAAATTACTTAAATAAATTTTAGTTTATTTGATTGACTTTTAAAAAAATATCTAAATATAAATCGCATTACATTAATTAACTTTTTTTAAAATTTAATTTGTTAATTTTAATTGTAAATTTTTTAATACAAACATACTCATATTTAGTTTGTTCATTTTTAGTTGTTAAATAATTCATTATCAATGTATTCGCCAATTCATTAAATAATTTTTTCATCTTAGTTTCCCCTACAACATTTCTTTTGTTGTATTCGGTTTGTTCATCTCTAGTTGTTAAATAATTCGTTATCAATGTAGACTTTCATTTGAAAAATTTCACAGATATTAATTGTAAAAAAAAAAAAAAACAGGTTTTGTCATAGGAATATTCCTTAAATAGTTAGCTAGGCTTGTGGTTTCAAGTAGGAGCATTTTTTTCTCCCACAAAACGTATGAGCAATTTAATTTACTCCTTCCATTTAAAAATATAAAGTATTTTTTGAAGAGTTGAATATTAAAAAATGTAAGGCATTTTTAATCTTTTAAAATATAATTATTACTTTTTTTTTAAAATTTCTCCTATTGATAATGACTTTATATTTATTGTACGGTGTTTAATAAGGATAAATATGAAAAGATAGGATTAATTTAAAAGTAGATAACTATTTTATTGAAGGGTGAGATTCAATTAAAAATAATTTATATTTTTTGAACGGAGGAAGTAAGTAATACAGTAATATGATGGTGATCTAATTAATGGAAATATGATAAATATATAAACAATCTAATTTAAATTCTCTATATTCATGAATTCTTACGTCAAAATAAAGATAATTGTCTTAATAGATATTAGAAATGGTGAAATATTGCAATTTTCTTAATTGAAAGTTATTCATTGACAAGAAATCAATTGAATTTAATAATTTTTTTGAAAAAAAATATTAGATCAAGCAACAATATTTTTTCTTTTATGTCAATAAAAGATAAAATAGATGATTCGATAAATAACGATGCTGCACCCTATTTCTTCATTTTATTTGGTCACAATATACCATGTTGGCATCTTTTCTTCAAGGAGCAAAGCCGGTTTATCTCAACTTTACACACATGATAGAGAATGAAATTGCAAATATTTGATTGTTGGCAGAGAAAGAAAAAAGAATTGAAGAAAAACTAATGCATGTATTCAATATTTAAGCTCATAATTTTATCCCTTAAAAACTCAACTGGTTCTGCTTTTTATTATTGTTCTTTTTCTTCTTTTCATTCCTCCCAATTGGGCCTATGCTAGTCAATGTTTAAAAACCAACCTAACCGTGAACCAACTACATGTCCAATCTGAATTAACTCCTAAAAATATATTTGGTTTAAGGGAAAGGGAGGGGAGGTAAGGGGAGAGGAGGGAAGGGAGGGGGAGGAGGGAAGGGGAGGAGAGGAGAGCTCCCCCCCAATTTGGAGGGAAGGCTTTGGAGGGAAGGGGAGGGAAAATTTTAAAAATTTTTCCTTCCCTCCTCCTAACCAAAGGAGCGCCCTCCCCTCTAACCAAACACACCCTAAAACAAGTTTTGCTAAGAACCGGTCAAACCAAAAAATTAAATATTAATTATTAAATAATTTGGAAAAATAAATTATATATGTTTTGAGCCAAAGTTGTGATTTTTACAAAAATTACTACTCAGCCACTTATGAATTCTACTCAAGTACTACCCCAGCTAACTCCTAATAAGAAAATACTAAAGTTTTAAAAATTAGATCTGTCATTGAATCATATGAGGCACTTATTCACGGTTCATTAGTCGAACCATGATCTAACCAGAGTCGAACTGATTGACATTAAATTAATATATTTTTAATTTATGTATCATAATTAAATAAAAAATACATTTAAATATGTATTTTTTTCAAAAATACATTATAGATGCTTGGTAATATAATTTATTATTGATAAATACATAATTAATATTAATTATAAGTGAAGCTTTTCATTTAAATATCAAAAAAGATGTTGATAGAATGATAAAATAGACATTTTTTGAAGGCATGTTTAAGCTAAATTAAAAAGGTCAGATTTAAAAAAAATATGCATTAATAATAAAAAGTATAAAGATTAAAATCATGTGCCTACATTAAAAAAAACAAGATATATGCAAAAAAAAAATCAACCAAAATCAAAAGAAAAAAGAGGGGAAAACAAAAAAAGGGAGCATACTGTACATGCATACTAGTTATTTAAGTCCCACATCGATTGTGTGGAAAGGAAAAAAAAAAAAAAAGCGTGCATATCTTAGGGTAGAAGTAGAACATGGGTGTCATAGGAGAGGCTGAGCTTATGTTTGCAAAACTTATAGCTTATAGTCCAAAGCTTTCAGTATTTTAATTTTAATTCTGATTTTTTTTTAATTTTGTCTGATTTTCTCATGAAAATTAGTTCAGTTTTTATCCGATTTTATCAGTTCCCTAACAACCGGTTCTTAGGAGTTAGCTAAACTGGACCAAGATCTGGTTTTTTTGTTCAACCAGTCGATTCAATTTTTAAAACCTTGGAAAATACTTTCCCAACGTGGCATTGCCTTTTAAAAAAGAATCAAATTAAAGGGCAAGCATTATGCCTGGAGAGTCGAGGATCGAATCCAGAATCTAATGTAGAAAGAGACAACATAGGCCACTAAACCCAAAGGTGTTTGGTTTTGAATTTGGTGTAGCTTTTTGATGATCTTCTAAGTTCCGGTGGTTTCATCCCGCCGATCTTTCTTGTGTTTTCTTTTACTTAGGGCCTCTTTGATTTTTTTTGTTTGCTCTGAAAGTTTATTTTATAAAAATAAGTTATTACAATAAAATTTTTGTTTAGATATTTTTTTAAAGTCAGTTTAATAAATTTAAAGTTATTTAAATAATATATAATAAAAGGTACTTCTATAGATATAATTACAAAAAAGAAATTGATTGTATGATATGTAATTTTTATTACACATGCAATATATTTGAATGTTTGAAAAATGCATATAATATAAAATTTGATATGTTAAATAATAAATAAATAATGCATCTTCATTAATCTTGCTCATTATCCTAATCTCATAAATTACTTTCCTTTAGTTGTTTGTTTGAGACATTAAATTCAAAGCAGTACTAATTATTTTTCTTAAGCTAATAAAAAAATATTGGTATTTAAGAATAAATTCACAAAGCAGGCAAACAAGGTTGGTAAAGGCAGTCATGAATTAATTATCTCAATGAAACTAACAAAATCATTTTTTTTATTAATTTTACATTCATCTTAATGCATAAAACACATTCTACGCCGGGTTTCTCCTTCTAGGAACGTTAACAACACCATTCCTATTGAAATTTAAAGAAAAATGACAAAACATTTGAGGGCAACAGATTATTTCTATACATTCAAGGTTGCAACAAGGCATGTAAAATATGATTCACATCAATTTGCATTTCTCTCTCTCATCTAATCAATAGACTCGTAGTATCAATAAAGATTTTACAAGTCCATGAACAAACCCACTAAGCACTTAAGGCACTGTGTAAAGAACCAAAACTCAATCTAACAGAATCAAGTACACTACAAATAAACAAACAGGAGCACTGTGTAGCCAATTTGCTGTATCTTTCCACTGTGAAGTCCAGAATCATCATAAATGCTGACCATGCATCTCTTCAATTCTCCTCAAAGTCAACATCAATTATATCAGGATCTGATTTAGAAGAGGATGTTCTTCTTCCTTCCTTAAAGAAGAAATCTCCTTTGGGTTGCCATAGCTTGTACATCTAATTATTCGGTTCTTGTAGCCAGCGAATTGCGTTCTGCAAGCTGGACATGTGCCCTGCAAAATTGGAGGTAGCAGACTCTTGAGGTGACTTTTCAAAAAGACAGACTGGATTTAGAATAAAAAAAAAATCATTATCAGTATTTGTCAGCATCGAAATATAACTTGGAAGTGCAAAACTGCTTAGGCTTTTCCTTGTCACGCAAGCTTAAAGGGTTCAATAACTTTATTGAGTCACAGGAGCTCTAGTTCGATACTGTTTTGCTCTTAAATGTTGTGCTTCGTTTCAAGAATTTATTATCATCCTCGTTTCTTTGCCCTTTCATCTCTTGTAAGCAAATTTCCATACATCAGAAAAGAAAAATCATTTTTTTGGCCAAAAGAAGGAAAAGAAAAGCAAAATTGAAATCAATTTTTTTCAATGACTAATCGCTAAACAAAAACATTCAGAATGCTTTTAAGTGCAAGGTACATTTTAGACCCAATCAACTTTCTCAAATACCTTGGCAACTAGGTTGTTACCCAGTGTACGACGAGAAGAGGTCCAGCAAATGGAAGAACTCAAATCACAATCACCAACAATGCCACCAGATAATGCAAACAAGATGAAGAAAACAGTCTGAAAAAACAATTTCCACATATATAATAGAACATGGTTGTGGTGTCAAAAGAAAAATGAAAAATTACATGAAGTATATTTCCGCATACACAAGAGATCATACTCAAGAAATTCTTTTATTGTGGAAATCGATCAACAGTTAGATATTTCCTTACTGGTAAAAGAATCCAATGCAGAAAAGTACCGTAAATCAGAAGAATCCCCCAACAAAAAATTAAAAATGTACAAAACAAGAGAAAACGAAAGGAAAAGGAATTAAAACTGTAACAAAGCTGCTTGATCGCCCTATGTAGATCAAGCAGAAAGATCCCATCTCAAAATTCATTGAAACCTTGAAGATAATGTATTTTGATCGAAACTAATACACCAAACCACAGCAAAACTTGCAACTGAGCCTTGATTTATTTTTTCTGTACAAATACTATAAGAAGTAAATCAAAAAGGAGTTTTTCCAAATTTGCAAAGCATGCTTCAAGCCATGCTAAAACAAATAACTTAATAAGGTGGACACCTGTGAAGCATAGAAACTTGCAAAGTATCGATGATGAATATGTATAGGACCCACATACACAAAGGATTAATGTTAGTGTGACATTCGCCTCTAAGGGAACTACAGAATTTCCAGTTATTATTTGATTTTGATAAATGCAAAAGAAGAGGAAAAATAAAGACGGAGAACATGGAAGGTTCTTCCAGATAAAAGCCATAATAATTTGGATGCTGCTCCACGAAATCTTAGGAGTGGTTCTGAAATTTTTAAATAGTGAATGATACACATTAAAAATTTAAACTGATTAAATTTCAGTCCATCTAAGAAGAAAATACAACACTGTCTAATATATCTACAGCAGTCACAATCTCATTGTAGAGGACATTCCAAACTCTGCATAATGAAACTTCACTTTTCCTTCCGTTGAGAGTGTAGATTGATTTGATCATTTGGTTTATTAGTTTTCTCCTGTTTCGACCTAAATATACAATTATAGGTTGTTTTGATATATATTCCATTTCATTGATTATAATGACTACGAAAACTTATGTAGAGATCTCAGAATGAGCAAAAATAACATTTAAATAGAATATTTTAGACCTTTTCAGCTAAAATATATAAAATAATGGCAGTGATGGCCGAATTCATCACGTTAGACTTTTTGCTTTTTGCCCCTTTTTGCTTGTGTCTGCTTCTACAGTTAGGAAATTGCTGACATGATGTGCAGAATCTCACTTTTCCTTAAAGAAAATGATTCACTGCATTATTAGTCAAAAGATATCTCCATCTCATATAAGTCACACTCAATTTTATTAAGCTCTCAAACAATAAGACACTATTCCTGTTAGGGTACAATATGAAAATTGAATACTAAACCTTTAACTTAAATTATTAAGTACAAGTGCCAGAGAAGCAGAAGTCAGCATGAAATTTTACACCTTAGGCTAATAAAACCACCATGTTCATCACTACCATCATTTGTATTTGCAAACTATCTCTATGTCATGTTTTGAATTCCCAGAGTTTCCAACAGGCAATACCAGAATTTAACTTTGCAAGCTTCACCCTCATTTCTATCAGCGTGCATGCCTCGTCTTTAAATTATTGATAAACCATTAATTCCATGGTTCTAAAGAAATTTTCAATTCTACCTCCAGATCCCTTTTGCGTGGGCATCCTCTTGATACAATAATCTATATCTTCACTTCCATAATTACAGAGGCCACCCACTCAATCATCCATTCATCTGTCATAATCATTTGTCTCCTCCTTTTCCATTCACTGTTGGCTAGAACTTAGAAGTTTCCCTTTTTAACACGTTGATCTCCTGGAAATATCCACACTAGATGCCATAATTCTCCTCTTCATGCTTTAGCAGTTCATAGGATGATTTTACCGTGAATGCCCCATCAGAGAAAAATTCCATTAGCATTGTGTTTTGCCACTATCTTCTACACCTACAATCAGTAGGTTAACTCTCATTCGAGGCAAATCTAAGGCCTCTCTCTCTTACACTAATCAATTAGTGTAGTTAACAAGGGACTTGACAATCTAGAAGTTTCCATAGCCTATAAACTAAGTTGTGGAATAGCAGCTAAGCTACAACTGACTTTGACAGGTTGATTCGGTCTTCAAATGATTATGTTTATCCAAATACACGATTTTGTTTTATTTCTTTCAATATTTTTCCCCAAATGCACAATAAATAGAACAGATGTGAAGTGCTATTTGTCTATGCGATTTGATGATTATAATTAACCCGCGTAAGTTAGATGAGAAATTAAACCTGAGATATATCTCTTCAACTATAACCCCCCTCGCTCCATTCGAAGCAATCTCCTCTCAAGCACCTTTCGTAGCCACCGTCACTGGTCTTTGAGGGTGGTCATCGCCGTCGATCTCCGGCGCTCACCGGAGGCTGAGATTTGATAAGCACCTTCATAGAGGTCGACATCAATGGTTTTTCAACTGAAATATCGCAATCAAACAGAAGCCAAAAAAAAAAAACGAAAGAAGAAACAGAGATGAGAAAATCTTACGCGGTGGTCCGTAATAAAAACATTTGAGAACCTGTCAAGACAATCACGCGACCATCCCATGGGGGCTAGCCCCACGGGAACGATCCTCTGCGGCCAAGTTGAGCCAAACAGGTTGGAGCAGCCGACCAGTACTCACGCTCTGGTCACGCGATCTTCAGTCATCATCCAAGTTGTGGTTCTTGTCTCCTTTATACTCAAGGACACAGAAGTACGAGCCTATAGAACAGATCCTGTTCAAGTAAGGTAGTACCCTAAGAATGTACTCCGTCCCTTTTATCGTCTGGTCTTCATCGTTCACAGACGATGTGGGGTTTCACCGTTTAAGAGTTTCTTGATCTCCGTCTAATAGACTTTGTAACTTCAGAAGCCATTTTCAAGTGCATGATGTGGCTCACCAAGTGTAACAAATTTACCGACTCAATAAATCTCCCACATGACATGATAGGGTGGAGGGATTAACAATCGCACTAACAATATAAAAATTAAATCTATAAGTCATATAATAAAATTATAAAAAAATTATTAAATATAGATTGAGATTGAAAACTGATATTTTTAAAAATTAATTTGGTTTCATGCTAAATAAGGTGAGCATAGAAGCAATTTATCTAATAAGAAGATTAATGAAAAAATATCAATATGAAACTAAAGATTTACACATGATTTTTATTGTTTTAAAAAAAAGTTCATGACCATATATTAAAAAAATTCTTTTGGAAAGCTTTGGAAAAAAAAGAGTTCAAGTTTCTTATATTAGAGCTATACAAGATATATATAAAAAGAAAACAACTAGTTTAAGAACATTTGATGATGAAACAACGGAGTTTTTCAAAGGGATTGGATTACATTAAGTATCATTTGTGAGTCTTTTTTTATTTGAACAGTTCTTAAATATTTCAATTGAGCATATTCAAGAGCATATGCTTTTTATGAATGATATAGTTCTTATTGCGAAGACATAAGAAGAGATTAACTATAAATTTGAGTTATGAAGAAGGATATTGGAGTTAAAAACCTGAGTAGGAGTAAGACGAAATATTTACATAATTACATTATAATTTTGATAAGAGATCAGTCAGTAATAATTTAAAAATTAAATTAGAATATCAAATTATATCTATGGAAAAGTTTAGATATTTAAGAGTATTATGCAACATGATGGGGAAATTAATGGATATATTGCACATAAGATACAAGTTGGGTAGTTTAACTGAAGAAAGAACAAAGAAGTTATTTACAATTGTAAGATACCTAATAAACTTAAATGAAAGTTTTATGAAACTGGTATAATATCAATTATGTTGTATGATAGTGAATGTTGCTCTTTAACAGGATAGCAAGAGTATAAAATTAAAATAGCATAGATGAGAATATTGAGATTATTGTTTGCAAAATCAGACTAAACTGGCCAATCGGACTGATGACTTGGCCGTGTGTCGAGTCCAGTTTTCTTATTTAAAGTGGACGCAGCTAACTCAAGATTAACCCACCTAACCTCATAGATTAAGTGGTTGGGCGGGTTGTTAGATTTTTAAAATTTCTAACCCCCAGAAATTTAGAAAAAAAAAATAGAGAAACAAAAGCCTTACTCCATTCAATCTTTCTCCTTCCCCCTCCTCCTCCTCCTTCACGGCTTTACTTCTCATCTCCAATTCTCTACTCACTCTTGGATCTCAGTCAAGCTCTCTCCATCCCTCAATGCTCCTCAGCATCCATCGTAGGTCTCGCCTTCTTCACTTGTCCCTTAGTGTTGCTCAAGCGCTCAATGTTGTTGTTGTGTGTGTTCTCTTCAAGGCTTCAGTTAAGATGTAAAAAGAAGAAGAGAGAAGCAAATGAAGAAAGAAGAAAGAAAGAGATGAAGAATGAAGAAGGAAAGATACGAAGATGTGCATGAACCAACGCATGAAGGAAAAGTCAGAAAGGTGATGTGATTCTATTGTACATTAATAACAGTGAAGGGATGGTCATCTTTGTCAGGCTAGATAAAATAGATGGTAAGAAAAAAATCTATATATTATAAATTTTATATATCTATGTTATTTTTTAACAAATTATTTATTATTTATGATATAATAAAAAATATATTATTTTATTATGATCGGTTTGACCTCAATTAAACTTTTGACTTTGGTCGGTTTAATGTTCGGTTTGGTTTTTAATACCTTAATTGAGATGGATGTGCAGGCATACACATAAAAATAAGTTCTGAAATGAGTAAGTATGAGAAAAAATGGACATAGCATCTATTAAAGGGAAAATCTTAAAAATCGTTTGAAATAGTTTAGATATGTACAAAGAAGATTGTAGGAGGTACTAATGAGAGAAGTGAAACGGATCATTTTGAGCCCTATTAAAAAAGAAGTAGATGAAGGCTAAAGAAAATAATTATAGAAGTTGTTGATTAAGACTTCTTAGTTAACAATATTCCTAAAGTTTGGTAAATAATAGAGTACCATAACATTATATATAGTTTATGTAGTTGACCTCACCTAGAGCGATAAGACTTATTGTTTTTAACATGATATGGTAGTTGGTTTAATCTAACAATTATAAAAAAAAAAATTGTTAGACGTACTTAGAAAGCATTAAATGTCAAATTTTTGAAAGGGACAATATACTTGAAAGGTACTATAATCAGGAGAATTTTTTTGAATTTTTTTTTAATATATCTTGATAATCTTTTAGTGTTGATGCAATCTAATAATTGTAATGAAGACACCATGAGTAAATTTAAACTGATCCAAATCCCAACTAATTTCTCCTTCTTTGTGGCTGCGGAAAAAAAATTTAAAACATAACTTTTATCAAACTAATATGTGGGGATTTTAGATTCTAGAGAAAGACGTTTTATCAACTATCAATCAAATCCAAATTACGTGTATATTTACTAGCTTCAATTCTTTACTAGGTCTTGTTATTTTATAATGTCATATGCCAAATGAAAATATAGTGAGAAAAACTGAAGAACTCCTTAAAAGAACAAATAAGTCCCACATTGCGTGATTTATGAAGCAATAAATTGGATATAATGCTCTAATTTTCGGGCGAGCAAGCTGAGTTCTGTGGTTATAACTTTAAATCCAAGTGGAGGGCGCTTTAGCCGTGTACAATTGCCTCAACAGAGCAATTGAATTCTTATTAGTCTATTTTAGTTTCCTCTACACATTTATTTACTTTATTCAGTTTGTTCATCTGAAACAGTTAGGTGGTTCGTGATCAACGTAGACCTTCATTTTTTATTTTTTATTTTGCCAGAAAAAGAGTCAATTTTATTAATCACCAAAAACAATTATAAACACTAATAGCTCAAGCCAAAAAAAAAAAAAACACTCAAAAACCCTACACATACAACCTAACACAACAAGGCACACAAAAAAATACAATAATCAGTTTAACAAAATAAAAAACAAGAACAACAAAAGCCAACAAAAATACAAACACAATAAAAGTCATCATCCAATGTATTTCTTTACAAAGATACATTCCTCCTAGCATCATCACTATTCATGCTTTAGCCTTGTCAAAAAGTATAATCCAAGTTAAGGTAGATGGAGGTGACATCACCAAACCAATTGGTTTCCATCTTCCTTTTAGTATCCACTACAAGAAAATCTACAACTTTATTCACATCTTTATAAACAAGAGACAAACAACAATTCTTCACAGAAGGCCATAGTAACAAATATCATTAATAATGCCAACACTTTTCTAGCCACAGGGAAACAACCATTCATGAGTAACAACTTTATATAAGACCTCACAATCCCTCAACACAATAACTCACAATTCTTAGTTCTTTAGCAAGTAGTAAAATCATTTTTAAAGCCAAGTTTCAATCATTAAAGCTAAAAAAACTATCACTTTTTCACTTATACCTGTCACAAAGTTATTCAAATCATCTCTTCCAACAATCTCAATAATATCACAACTTTTTATCTCATCAAAAGCCCCATCATAATTAATTTAATCCCACCTTTACTAGGAAAACACCAACACAACTTCACTTT